ATTATTAATTATAGTTATTGTTGTTTAGTTACCCACAAATAGTCTTGCCTTTTCACTATGAACTCTTAGAAATAAAACGTAGTTAACTAAAATAATTCATAACCACCTGTGCCCAGCTGTGGTTGTAAACAATCTAAGGATAAATGAAGAACAAAGAACACGTTCTAAAAAAAAGCAACTCTCCGCTCACAAGATCAATTGTTGAAAAATGTTGTGAGAAATATTAAAAAAAGTAAAAGAAAGAGAAGAGTAGATACCTGCCTTCACATTAAACATCCGGATAGATTCACCAAGTCGAGTTTAAATAAGCTTGCTTAACCAATATAATAAAGAAACTTGTAAAACAATATTGAAAGAGTTATAAAATTCAAGTAAAAAACAGAATTATCGAGTAAAAGGATTGGTAATTGCTATCTTTAAAAAATCTCATCATACTGGAAAGTCTAGTGCAAAACATATTGAAGATTGTTAAATGAAAATGATAAAGAACAAATAAGAGGAATACTTATAACAAGAATCGGTCATGTATCTTTGGGATCTTTAGGAAGCGGTATAAAGATTATAGCCTATAAGATATAACTAATATTGATCAAAATGAAATAAAAGTATAATAAAGAGCAAAGTCATTGTCAACCAATCTATGGATAGTGTAGATAGAACTAAGATGAAAATTGAAGCTGAAACAAACTTACTACATATAAATGCCAATATATTTGCCCACGGCTGCCAAAAAAACAATTCAATAAAGGGTCAAAAATTAATGCCCAACAAATTTACGGAATAGCATTCTTATAAGTAAAATTGCTTTAGGCCAAAATTGTCAGCACAAGGACAGGAAAAAGAATTGTACCAATACATCTAATTTTTGTTATAGCGAAGTTACCAGGCTAAAGAAAAATATTCACGATAGCTTATATCAGGAGAATTCTATATGTACTTCACTTATCGAATTGAAGGTTATTATTCCGTAATTCAAAATTCTCCACTATATTGAATCTTAATTATGATAAGAAATAAGTTGTAATTAATACACAACTAATGAGAACAATCCGGGAATAGTGACTTACTTGAAAATTTGATCCAGTAAAATAAGTAAAGCATTATAATGGCTATAAAGATAATTTTAGTATCCGAAGTAAACCGCTGAAATTATGAACGCATGGCATGAAGAAAAGATCAAAAGCCTGGAAACGATTAAGAAAAACGAGAGCCGATTAAAATTTGGCTCAAAATTGTTAATGCTCTTTATGTTATAATAGGTAATTAATATTAACGAAAAAATGAGTTGTAATTAATACACAAACAATCTAGGAATAGTACTTACTTGAAATTTTGATCCAAAAAAATAAGTAAAGCATTATAAAGGTAATTTTAGTATCTGAAGTAAACTGCTGAAATTATGAATGCGTGGCATGAAGAAAAAATCAAAAGCCAGGAAAACAACTATGAAAAACAAGAGCCGATTAAAATTTGGCTCAAAATTGTTAATGCTCTTTATGTTATAATAGGTAATTAATATTAGCAAAAAAATGAGTTGTAATTAATATACAAACAATCCGGGAATAGTACTTACTTGAAAATTTGATCCAGAAAAATAAGTAAAGCATTATAAAGGTAATTTTAGTAGCAGAAGTAAACCACCAAAATTATGAACGCGTGGCATGAAGAAAAGATCAAAAGCCAGGAAAACGACTATGAAAAACAAGATCTGATTAAAAGGTAATTTTAGTAGCAGAAGTAAACCGCCGAAATTATAAACACGTGGCATAAAGAAAAGATCAAAAGCCTGGAAAACGGCTATGAAAATTGAGAGCCGATTAAAAAGTAATTTTAGTAGCTGAAGTAAACTGCCGAAATTATAAACGTGTTGTATGAAGAAAAGATTAAAAGCCTGGAAAACAACTATGAAAAATGAGAGCCGATTAAAATTTGGCTCAAAATTGTTAATGCTCTTTATGTTATAATAGGTAATTAATATTAGCGAAAAAATATGAGTGAAATAAAACGTAATACAACTGTAACAAAGGTATATCCCAGAATCGATGATAAAGATTACAATAGCCAACAAGTTAATATATAACTAAGATTATTGATTATCATGATAAGTGCATAATCAAAGATCACTGGCTCAAAAGAAAAAATTCATTATAAATTATGCTTATTAATTTATAGTATGTTGATTGCAGAAATAAATTATAGGGGAAGTTTGCTAAACTAAACTTGAAAGAAATAATATGAAGATTGTGATTAATAGTTCAACCTTGTGCTTGAATCGACCTAGAAAAAAACAAAAAATACCTTATTACTCTTCAATTATTACTTCGGAGTTGTATTATGAAGGATAACACTTTTTTTTTTTAATTGTGAGTGTTCAATTAGTTTAAAAGACTTCTATGCTATAGTAGAATATAAAATATTATACAGCTTTGAAAAAATACATATTTTTTATATATAAATCATTCTCAAAATTATGGTCACTACCAATAATGCATTCATTATCATTATAATAATGAATAAAGTGTGCAGTATTGTTTGTGTCAACTTCACTTATAGGGCTGATCTTTCGCGTATTTTGAAGTTTATAAACTGGACATTCTAACTTCTTTTAATTGGTAAGTTCAAATCTATCAATAATAATAAAAGCTAAACATTGATTATCCTCTTTATGGCTGAAAATTGATCGTAGAATCGCAAAACTTTCACCCTCTTTCTCAGATATAGTTACAACATTACCAATATGCAAATAATAACATGTGTCAGTCTCATTATCTGAAAAACAAGCAAGTTAATAATGTCGGCATGCTACTTCAAAAAATGCTAACTCATAACCCATTTTTCGATATTCTGATGCCAGTTCTCTATGGAAGTCAGAATCAGTCAGCAATTTTTTAACTTTTTTTCTTGGGACATACTTTTTCAATATCACGTTCGAAATGTATTCATCTAGAGAAGAAGTAATAAGATTATTAATTAAAATCATACAAATCACTAAAGATATTTTGATCAGACCTTCACTTATGCCTTCAGGATCAACAGGTTTTTCAATAATAAACCAATCATTCATTAAACATTTAAATTGGTATGGAAAACTCATTGAAGTATTATTTGTAAGAGGAAAACGTTTGTCAATATCACCATCGAATAGATGGCACACTGCAAACAAAATTGTATATCGTTTTAATAAATCGAAGTCTACATTTTTTCGATTTGTTCGTGATACTGCATTTTTAAATATACGGTGCACCATTTCTTTTGTCTCTACACTTGTATTTAACAAAGTTGCATAATTCTTTGCATACTGTATTAAATGATAATTAGCATGCAAATTTGAAAGATTCTCAAAATCTTTAAATGCCTATTATTAATGAATATATTAATGTTTAATAATAATGCGTAACAATTAATGCTCTTAATTATTTGAGAAAATAATTTTATTTCATTGACTAAACATTCATACAATTCTATATAATCGGCATCCATAAAAAATTGTTTAAATGCTATTGCCATTGTTTTTGCCATCAATACCCAGTATTTCAACCAAAGTTTTATAGCTAAATCACTTCGTAAAATCCCTGTTCATTGTTGAAATAAAGTAAGTTCGAAATTTTTAAAATATGAAGGTTTTAAAAACCTATTGAGAATAAGCAGCATCATCATGGCCAAACGTAAGCAATCTGACATCATAAAACTGTCAAGATGCGAGATCGGATTTGGCAACTTTTGCCATGATCTTGAATATTCAAAGGATTTCTAATACTTTAAAAATATTGATTTTTCTTCTGTTAAAAATGCTTCAATTGTTATCCTGAAAAACCTCAGTACTTTGCCGGCTGTAAGGTGATAGACATCTTGTGGAGACTGAAGGTGTCTTTCTCTTTTTAATTTATCAAGTAAGGAAGGCCATAGATGTAATCATACTCTGTGGCAAGCATTTCACGTCGTTTCATCGTTGTTAACGCTGAAATTTCTTTAAATTGACTATCCATAATGTGATGATATCAAGAAACTATTGATAAATTGAGACCTTCAGAAGTCCAAGAGTCTCTTTCAACATTACAAATACGACATCCTCTTATAGCACCATGTCTTTTTACTCCCACCAGGTCATTCTCTTGCGGCAAATTAGCTGTCACATCTCCGAGACTCGCAATAACAAGGCTTTTTTTTTTTTGCACATCCATTATGATTCCCTTTTCTAATTCTTTCATCTCATCGACAAAAGGACTAATGAAATCATCGAAATGACTACCAAATGGAACAAATCCAATAACGAAGTGATTTTTGAGTTGTTTTCTTTTGTTAAAAGGTAGATTTCCGATTTGGACATAAATGCCTCTGAGTGAATAGTAAACATTACAAAACGTTCCGAAATCATCATAGTAAAGGTCAATATATAATTTATATATTGGAAGGTTCGTTTCTGGTATTTCTAGTTCAGCAAATTATGAAGGGTGTTTATAGGAATATTTAATATTTCTTAACTTCCAATATTCTTGGTGTTTAAAAGAATTTCACAAATAAAAACTGAAAACATATTAACATTATTTTCGTTATAAAGAATAATAATTGGAGCAACCCTAACAATATTCTGTAATTCAACAATTATGATTGCATTGTCTATTTCTCGATCTAACAACTATAATTCATTACGAGACCTCTCTCTCTGACTATTGCTTTGCAAATTATATAGTAATTCCTCAAATATTACAACACGTTGAACTGTTGTCTTGAGCTTGTTATCTATATTTACTATTGATAAAATTCGACTGAATTTATTCCTTGCCATTGACTCTTTATAAACTATAAACTCTCCGCAATTGTATGTTACTAAAATTAATAAAAAACAATATTAGTAAAGCTATTACTATTATTATTATTATTAGTACTATTGTTTTATTATAACTCTAAATTTCACAAAATAAGCAATATAATAAGTAACATACTTCCATTAAATTGTATGGATGCTTGTCCGAATCGTGGAGATTTTTTCAATAAATTTCCGTGCCAAAGTTCTTGATTTTTTATAACTTTCTGGCCTGGACTGAAATACATTTGGCTAAATATTGAGGAATTATTTAAAGAATGCCAAATAATATCTGTTATAGATAGATAATACATTTCCTTAGTATTTTTGGAAGTAGATGACATTTTTTTATTTGATATATTAATATAATATTTCGTGTTTTGATAGGAAGCAAAGGTAATCTTTGCTAATACTTCCTAAACCGGCGAATATTTGCTACAACATCTTCATTCTTAAACTGTGGATGATGAATTATGTCTACTAATTCTTTATAAGTGCAGGTAGCTATTAAATATATATAACATAAGCTTAAGCAGCTATTAAATATATATAGCAAATTTCAATTTGAATTTGTTAATAATAAATGAATTTCTTACATATATTGTGTTTTTGAATCCAAAAAAACATCAACGCTTCAATAATATTTTTGAAATATAGAGCAAATTTACCATTAATAGATGGCATTTGCTCAATATTCAAAGCTTTATCAACAACTTTGTCAGAACCTTTTTCGCTTAGCTCTTCATTGTTATAATTTATTGGCATTTCATCATCATCTAATATTTCATCATTAAAAAAATCTTTGTCTACATCATTCAATACCTCATCAAACAAATCATTTATCTTTTCACAATCAGTCTCCCCTTCATTAAATGAATCTTCATTTGGTGTCTTATCATCATTCGTATTTTCATAATTAGTTACCCTTTCTTCGAACGAATCTTCGTTTGGTGTCGCGTAATCGTTCATATTTTCATAATTAGTATCCCCTTCATCGAACGAATCTTCGTTTGGTATCTCATGATCATTTATCTTTTTATAATTAGCTTCAGTTCTAAGTTGATCAGAGTCAAAAGGTGTATTAAATAGTTTGTGTGGGTGTCTTATATAGTTTTGACGGTGTTTATAGAAAATATAACGATTATGAAACATTGTAAAAAAAGAGAAGGCTTTTGAATTAAAGTTCCTTGCCTTATATGTATATATAGTATCACAAGAATCTGTGATCAATCAGAAATTAACTAGAAGTAAAATATATTAATATTGGAGTTTAAATTATTATTAGCCATATATGGTCAGTATGCAAATAACAAATATATATATAAGAGGATAACCTGTAGTTCAAGAGATATGTAAAAATATTGCGCGGGATTAAATGACACTACCTATTTAGTGTCAAAAATCTAGCCAGGTATGAGTTTTGTTTATGATAATGATGAATATAGTAAAAGCGAATGGAGATTTTCTTTATGCCTTGCATTACTATTCTTTTTATTTTTATTTTACATACCTTATTTATATTTATATCCTTACATTATTGTATGATTACATCATAATTACTATTACAATTATTCTTTTCATAGTTAATTTTAACTTTATTATCCTTCCTTTATTATTTCGAATTAAAATATTTTAATTAACTTTCAAAGGCTAAGCGTAATACAAATTTATTTGTATAGATAAATACAGTGTGAACTACAGTGCAGACAACCTAGTTACAGCAAATAAAAATTTTTAAAGGCCAAATTTAGATTTTATTATCTTTTTATATATACGAAGAGGCCAATTTGAAAATTTAGCCAATTTTTGTATAAAGTGGCCAAATTTGCTTTATATATATATATATAAAAGGTGGCCAAATTTTATATTTAATTATAAAAATACTATAATTTGCTATACCTTTTTTATAAATAGTTTTTAAAAAAAAATTTCAAGATAGTATTGTATTTACTATCTTTTTAAAAAAAAGAATTAGCAATTTAGATTTCTTTAATTTTATTTGTTAAGACTTGGTTGTCTGCAATGTAGTTAAAATATACAAAAGTGACAAATCAAATTTTAATATAGGCCTAGAAATTTTTTTTTAATGGATTCATTTTACTAGAGGCTATCAGAAGGGAGGAGAAGTTAACTAAAGACTAACTAGGGATTGAAAAAACTGTTTAAACAGTTTTTTAGATGGTTTAAAACTTTTTATGCTGATTCTCCAAATTTCATAGAGATAACTTTTAAAGAAAAAATATTTACTTTATAAACTTTCGTTATTATATAATTACAAAAAATATGCAGTGCTTAATATATTTATACAGTATATATATAATTTTTTAAATTTTTTTTTTTATTGTTTTGTACGCTATGAGAGGTCCCTGTAAAATTTTATTATTATTATAATTATTTAATTTTATTTCATTATTATTATTGCTATTATCATTATATATGTATATATTTAGTTACTTAATTTAGAGTCGGAAGCTTCGTAGGACTTGTATGATAAGTCAGCTTAATTCAACCTATCCGCTTTTGTGGCTTTAGTCGCATTATCGTATTTAGCTACTTTATTCGTGATAGTAGCTTTAGTAGCTTTAACTCCCTTTAGCGAATATAGTCACTTTATTACTTTCCCTCTATATTCGTTTTATTCGCTTTATCGCCTTCGCGGATAAATTCAACTTTAAAGCCTGTATTGTAATAGTCCTGTAAAAAGTGTAAAAGCAAAGACTCTTCGCATTGAAAATAAAGCAGAACTCAGTTGAATAAAATACTTCGAAAACATATCAGTAGAAGTTACTCCAGTAGTTTTATACTTATCTCCTTGTTCTCTATAGAAACATTTGATTAAAAATATACCCTGATTCAGATATAATTAATAAATCCTTGTGAGTATTGACTTTTGAAATTTGAGTAGAAGTGTTGACTGATCGTCACTAAAACTTTCTTGACCCAAAATATTGTGTTCACTAAACCTACGATTTCTATATAGAATAAGAGAGAGAAAGAGAACACTTAGTGATCTAAAACCTCTTTTATAGAAAATCTGACAATTGATTGAACCCTTGATCCATACCTTTAAGTGAAAATCAATCGATTTCAAGGTCCTATGCCAATCTTGTGACTTACGTAATGATTGTTAAGAATTTTAACAATCGAAATCCAATACTGAAGCCCTGGTACACTAAAACTTAGGAAAAGGCATTGCTTTTAGCTTCTGGCTAAAGGTTATAAACTCCTGGTAGAAGCACAAGCCAAAACTAGACTTATCTTAACCGTCAAATACACCGCAGCAAGACCCGAAAAGCCTTGAGACTCGAACCAAGTCTTTTCATACGCCTACCAATTCGAGGTTTTAGGTATCTTGAAGCCTTGGTTAGCTTTTTAGTATGTTGGAGTGGATAGTTAGTTTTTATATATAAATTAATAGTCACAATTTTTTCAATGCTCTATTTAATTTAATACATTTATCATCATCTTTGAGCCAACCATCAATCTCAATTTCTTTTTGAATTCTTAAATTTTGATAGACTGTAACAAGTTTTTTTACTATCCATTATTTAATAACTTTTTGGAAGCTTTTTGTATCTATATTAGTGTTCCTTTAATTAAGTGACTAAATCCACAAAGTCCTCTTCACAGTAGTTGCACTTTTGGCAAGGCGCAGTTTCCGTAACTTTTGTAAAGTTCAAGCGAATTTCTTTTAATAAATTTATATTTTAAAAAAGAGATAATGATAAAGTTATATTTTGATGAAATTATTTAAATAAATAAATAAATACCATCCCATTGTTATATATTATGATTATGTCAGAATGTGTTAATTATTTAAAACCAGTTTTAAATTAAACAATCATGGTTAAAACATTCCATATTCCATCCCTAAGACTAACTTTGAAAGGCTTAATAACAATATAAGTAACATATAAGTTCAATCGATTTATCGAGCTATACATTAATTAATAACTCAACTAATGGTTAATGGTTAATTATTAATAATTCAAGAGGCTCATCACTACTAGATGTTAATTTTTTTGATCTTTTGTTTAAAATTCAAAATCCGATTGATTAATTGTATCAATTAATATAATATAAAAGTAAAAATTCCTTTTTTATTTTACTAATCAATTCATTCTTATTTATTTCCTTTTATTACTAAATAATAATGAGTTCTAGAAATGCTGAAAAGCATGCAAACGAACAAGTAGACTTAAATGTCCCAAAAAAAAAGAGGTCGCAAGAAAAAAGAAGCGGTCATTTCATCTTCAGATAATCTTAATAATTTTACGAGTAATACTATTATTTCACATAGTGAAAGTACTGGCATTAAAAAAGGTCGTAAAAAGAAAGCCCAAAAAATAGTTGAACCTTTATCTTTAAATGACAGTAACGATAATGTGCAAGGCAAAAATAAAAGAGATCGTAAACGAAAGCAAGATACAGTTGTGCCTCCATCGTCACGAATAATCACTAAGCTTTTGAAAGATGATATTCCTGATAATAATGACAACAATAATTCTAATGATGATGGTGTTTCTAATTATGATAATATCTTTGACGATAATGTTATTGATAATAATGATGAATCTGCAGCTCAAGACTTTACAATTACATCTTTAAGGCCGTCAACTCTTGAAACCGAAGCCAATAATCAAAATATGCAAACACTTAGTTCAAGTAACAATAATTAAATCCAAAATAGCATTTCTTCAAATAGAATACTATCTTCAAGACCGACGTCATTATCTGCTTTAAGAGAAAGTAGTCTGATTTACTATAGACCAGTGCTAGCTCGAGAATCAAGAATTGATTTTGATTTTTCAAATAGATCTTCAAGAATGAATCCAACAACGGTTCCAGATTCAAGGGCAAATGATCAATTTGACCATATTTCTTTAAATAATACTTTAAGGTCAAGGCCAATGTCACCTTTAGCATCAAGAAATAATTCAATGAATATTCTGATGAATGATATTTGTAACACAACGAATAATTCGATTCATCACTTTGGCACGATCAATAAAGGTATTCTTTCACCCTTTAATGAAATGACAATTTACCAACTTTGCTCATAGTTATGCAAAAATCCTAATGTTCTACAATTGGCAAATAATATGAATTTGGCAATGCAAATGTCAGTTGTAGAAGGATCACAACTTACATCTTCTATTCTTTTCAGATCGAATACGATACAAAATCAAGAGAATAATAAGACTAAAGATTGTCACGATTTTTTAGAAGAATTGAAATACCTTTTTCTTTGTGTGCGAAATCCACATAAAAGTGCATTTGAAGAGTTGGTACAGAAAATCTTCAAGTGTGAACTTAATTCTGTTGAAGGCATCAAATGGCTTCATATAGCAATTAAACATTTTAGAGATTTTCGAAACAAATTAGTTAATAATGTCGAAGATTTAGTTGGAGATTTCAAAAATCAAAGGTTATTTTAGTACTACAATTAATACACATTCTTATTTCACATTTTAATAGTATTTTTCAATTAATTATAGGTCTACAACAGGCTCTTTGCAAAAGGAAGAAATTATCGCTTTTGTGAACGAATCTGCAACTGTTAAAGTTCTTGAACGGTGGTTAAATGCCACTAATATAGAAGAGCTAAAGGCTCAAAATTCTATACATTATTTATACAAATTTATTCAACGTGCATTTGCTATCAATTATTTGTCAAGAGATACTGAAAGGACGAAAACTTTGGATAATTTGATGAAAAACATCACAGTACCATCGCGAAATGGTAAAAATATTGCAAGCAATTTATGTTTATAAAAGTTACTTTTATATAATTATTTTTATTTTCATTGCATATTTGATCACACTTATATTCACAATAATTTTTTTTAATCATTTAATATGTATCTAGCAAATGTATAAAGGGTTGTTATTTGGTTCAAAATTAATGAAATGGCATATTATGGAACAAGTAAATTATTATGCTAAACTTATAAATCAGAATGTATGAATTATAATTAGAATTGAACATGACTTTCATGAAGCAAGTGAAAAACTTCATAATACGGCTTATAATTGATTCTATAGAGTTAATCTAATATAATATAAAATTTTAGTAATTACTGATCTATTTTACTATATATGAATATGCGGTGTAATGACTAGGCACATGAATGAACTAGATTTATCATTTTGTCATGTTCGAGCAATTTTTGTAGCTTGTACTTTGTACAAGATAACTATGATCAAAATTCATTTTCATCCATTTTACTACGTACTACTATTATTATATTTTCTTAGATGTAAAATTCAGATATGATATCGAGATAATAATAAAAAAGCTTCTTTATCTAGATTTACAATTTTTCTGTTTTTTTTTATCTTTTTATTTTCTTAGAGACTTTTTACCAACCAGAATAACAGATAACAGTTCGTCACTATAGTAATAACTATAACGAAAGAATCTCATTCCTAAATTTAAATTATATTCATGAACTATAGAATATGAGAATTAATGAAGTAATATTATCAATATACGATATATTATAAATTTTAAGCTTTAAATGAGTGAGCGAAGTGAGGCGAAACTTATATAAAAAAAACCTAGAACCATTTATTGGCCTCAAAGTGTCCAGCTATATCTAAAATGGCACTAGTGATGTCACGAACACAACCAAACTAAATTAGATGTCATGGAGTTACCCAAACTACCGTGTACTTACTATTGGTCTTTACTCGCTTGGCTATTATATACGATAACTGAAGTATCGTACCAAATAACCAAATACTACTACTGATAATGTATTCACCGAGACAACAGTTTATTTACTAAGAGGTAATTCAAGAAACTCACCTTATATTAATTACTAATGCATATTAGCGTCATTGATTATTACCATTGCTCATAGAATCATTATTACAGACTTTTAATTGATTTTATGCAAACCCGAATCACGCCATTTATGCAATTCTCAATCACGATATTCAATCAACACGTACCCGATCACCAATCAAATAGGTACTATCCAACCCTGGCGCTACGATTATATGGGGTATTGAAAAACACCGCGACAAGATAAAGCTTTTCTTATTTTTATTCTATAAACATATAAAATCAAAGTAAAACAATTCTGGTCGAATTTGGATATGTGGTTAGTTGTCGTAATATCACTTATTGTGCTATATACTAGAAATATCTGGACTCTTGATTGGCCTTTTGTAATTTCTTATTATTCCAATTCCATAAAATAATCCACCTATAGGCTTTAAACTTAAACGAATGCCCTTATGTTTCATTATGTTTATCCTTAATCTTCATCATAACAATATTGTATGTTCCACAGCGTTTCCCATCTGTTATTTTTTGTAGCAAATGAATGACTTACTTTTATCATTTTCAACTTTATAATTAACTTGAAGTTTTTAAGCATTATACCCGTTAGATCTATTATTTGCAAGAGGTTACTAGAAAATCTCCAAATTCATAATTACAAGTTGTCATAACAGATAAAAAATCTAGATTATTCCAAACTAAATCGAATTAATTAAATATTCTTGCAG